GAGTGTGTACACCTCGCGCCGCCGCCTGCGCCGGGCGGCAGGGGGGTCGCCTCCTGCTCCCTATGGTTTTGCGAAGTCAGAGTAATCAAGAAATCAGGGCGAGCCAGGCGATCGACCTTTGGCTACTGGTGGAGCCGGCACTTTGCCCTCGCCACGCTATACCGACTTCTCCGTGTGTCCCAACCGCGCTGTTAACGCCACGGGGCAGGAATCGTGCTGTCTGGTTCATGACATCGCCAGTATCCAGCGGAACCCCGGGGCCCACCTGCCTCTCACTCTGGAGTATATTTGAGTGAAAGAAGGGTCGTAATCTATATCTAGGAGGAGGTGTGCGTGCTAGTAATCTCAGCTCCTCCAGAAGGTGGGGCAGCAGGATTGCCAATTGAGGCCAGCCTGGGCAATTTAGGGAGACCCTGTCTCAAAATTTTTAAAAAGGGGCGAGGATTTAGCTCAGTGGTGGAGTGCTTGCACAGCGAGTGTGAGGCCACTGAGTTCAACACCCAGTACCTTTCAGGGGTGGGGGGAGTCTAGGTAGTAATCCTCGGTAGTTGCTATCAGGAAAATAAACTTATATTTATAAAAACATATTCACTTATTATTACATGATTATTGCTTTTCCTCACATGGGAATTACTTAAACGCACTAGTATTTTACTAGTAAGGGTGACCATTTTAGGCAGCAGGTCCTTGCAGAGTATTAGATTCTAGGCCAATCAAACAAAATTAAGTAGAAAGCTTATTTACTGTTTGCTCTAGTCAAGACGTGTTGTTTTGTCATTTGATTAGTAGCTGACTTATGAGCTTGTAAACCCTGCATTAGCGTTTTAAAATGAAAAAATAGAAAGAAGCCCCTTCCCATCATGATGTATAAATCTTACCAAAATAGACAAAATCCCTATGATCTTAACTAAAGCCCTCAAAAGAATAGTCACACATTACAAGAGTAAACACTAATCTGAAAATATAAAAAAAAAAAAAAAGAAAATATCTGGGGTGGGAGGGGGCACATTCCTGTAATCCCAGCACTTCGGAAGATCAGACAGGAGGATCACAAGTTCAAGGCCAGCCTGGGCAATTTAGCAGGGGTGAGTATCTGCAGCAGGAAAGCCTTTGTCCCTGGGTGCTGGGTTCAGCTCCTCCTAGTCTTCTCGGAGCAGGTCTGGCAGCACTCACCTCAGAAGGTCCAGCCACAGCCTCACACCTTGCCCTTGCCTCGCAGTATTTAGTTGGGATCTGAACTGTCCCCCAAGGCCATGTGGTACTATTGGGAGGGGTAAAACATCTGAGAGGAGGGGCCCAGTGGGAGGGCAGAAGGGAGGTCAGTCAATGGGAACAGGCCCTGGGGCTGCTGGGACCTCAGCGCTCCCTCCTCTTTGTCCCCCTCCTGCCACCCCTATGGCCTCCGGCTGAGAGCTAGCGCTATCAGACGCTCCCACTGTGATGTTCTGCCTCACCACAGGCCCAAACCATGGGACCAAGCAAACATGGATGGAAACCTTTAAAACCGTGAGCCCAAAAGAAGTCATTCCTCCTTGTTTATCTCCAGTATCATCACAGCAGTGCAAAACTGACTGCTGAGCTGAGATTGCTACCACAGACCAGGCCACCTACATCGCCTGGACACCACAGCCCAGCCTGTGTTCTCAGAAGACCTCTTCACTACTGGCGGCCAGGCTGCTCAGCCCGGTGGTGACCACAGGTCTTCTGAAAGAGGTCTGCGAGGAATTCTTGTGAGGGACAAGGCCGCCTCTCCAAAGCCGTCCTTTGCAGCCTTCTCTTGCTCATCTTCTGTGTGGTGTGATTGAAACACATGCTGAAAGTTTAAATTTAAAATTTTGTTTACAGTAAAGGGCACATTGCCATTAATCCCCCTCTTCAAACACACTTGCCCGTGTTCTGCCGCTTTCTGACGCAGCTCTGGAGTCCTCATTTTTGTCTTTACTTGTGCTGCTGAGGCTGCCTCAGTGTCCTGAACAGATTCAGATGCTTACCTTTCGTGGTGAGTTTGCTCTGGGGAGGAGCCAGAAGTTGCACAGTACCAGATCTGGTGAATAAGGTGGGTGAGGACACGCGGTAATGTTTTTGCATTGGATGGGACTTGGTAGCAGCACTCACCATCGTTTTGATCAAGCCTTGTAAAGACATGCGTGAAAGAGGACTCCAGAACTGCGTCAGAAAGTGGCAAGAACGATGGGAGAAACATGTTTGAAGTGAGGGGGAGTGTTTTCAGGGAGATTAATTTACTGTAATGCATTTTTTTAAAAATTTAAACATTCACTGTAATTTCAGTCATCCTTTGTAGATCCTTAGGGTCCCCTTTCATCCATTGTTATCAGTAACTGTTTACTAGCTAACAATTATATTAAATTTAACTGTTCACATGACCAGTTTCTGCCTCATGATTGATAACATGACTCACCAGATGAATGGAGCACCAAAGCGCTGTGCTCTGACATAGAATACTACTCAGCAGTAAAGAGGAATGAATTCCTGATGTGTGCAAAATGGCTGTCAAAAATGTGCTGAGCAAAAGATGCCAGACACGAGGGCTCCATGCTGTGTT